CCCCTATCCTCCCTAAGTACGCACGATGTTCCACGAACAGAATTGGAATTTCTTTTCGTGCGCTCCAAGAGATAAAACAAAATTATTGTTGAACATTCTAAAATGAATGATTTCGTAGATGTTTGCTCGATTGAGGACCAAGAAGTTGAAATATAAATATCTCATATATTTTACATAACAATGTGCGAAGTAGATACTTCGCGCACTGTTTTACTTCGCGCATTGTTTTGTGCAAGGTATCATGGTAACGTAGGAAACTGAACAAAGGTGCCACTTCGTAATTTGTTATCAATGCGCAAATCTTGTCGTTTTTTGACGTTTGTAGAAAAAATACATTTTAGGTTGTCGCGTACAGAAATATGAAACGATCACAATTAAAACTAAAAATGAGATAAATACATGTGTATATAAAACGTTTCAAAAAAGTACAAAATAAGACTTGACAATTTAAAAAAAAATGAAAATCACAGAAGTCAAGAAATTCATCATGTGAATACAAGGCATTTTTCAGTAAAATTTTCACAATTGCTGCTTTGAATTTTTGATGTATAATTAATTGGCTGTTGCGTTTTTTGAAGTCGGTGTTAGGGTATACCTTCCTAATAATTTGTCCTCAATACAGGTATATTGGGATAATACTAATAAACTGATTTATAGAGACTAGAAGATAAAATCCCAAAAATCCGAAGAAATGTATAATTAGTTTTCCTACGAGCGTGAGCAAAAGTAACTTTTCCGCACGATTTTTCGTTTTAAAAGTTTTACTTTTCGGTACGATTTTACTTTTCCGCACTATTTTCACTTTCCCGACGATAAATCGATAAAATCTTGCGAGAAAGTAACTGTATCGCACAAGTGCTGAAATCTTACTTTTCCACACGATTTTTGTATTGTTAAAAATTAGGATATTTATAGGATTGCCTAAATGATCTATGTAACCATTCTGTCTTATATGTCAATTTGTAGCATTATTATAAAACCTTACCGCACTAGTGCTTAAAAGTTACTTCCGCACGATTGCTGTATTGTCGGGAATGAGGATATTCATAGGAACACTAGGAACAACTAGATGATCTATGAACCTATTTTGTCTTATCTGTCAATTTGTAGCATTATTATAAAATCTTGGTTATTAGAAACCTTGTTTTTCATAAATAATATGGACAGAAAAACTCATAGGAAAAACATTGTACCTAACTTGTGCAGGAAAGTATTACTTTCCGCACTTGTTAGGTAAATAACATTTCCTCATTTATTTCCAGAAGAAAAGGGATTTTTTTCTCGACACAAAGTATTTTTAGGAATTGAATATTCGATCATTTTTCCCGAATATTACTGGAAGTCAGATTTGGTACCTTTTCGTAATGAACGATTCGAATGTGCACATCGTGGCCATCAGGAAATTTGGAGGTTGAGGACTATCCAAAAATGTTAACTGGGTGCAAACTTTGACTTAACGTCGAGCTAAACGCAAAAAAACATTCTCAAAAAACGTTAATTCTTAATGGTATTACCTTTGAGTGTGCGTACAAAAACGTCGAGCTAAACGTGAAAAAACATTCTCAAAAAACGTTAATTGTTAATAATATTACCTTCATTGTGTGCGTACAAAAATAAACGATTAGAATATGGTCATTGTGTCCATCAGAGAAATTTGGAGGTTGACGATTGTCCAAAAATGTTAACTGAGTTCAAAATCTGACGTAACGTCGAGCTAAACGCAAAAGAACATACACAAAAAACGTTGTTCATTGTTAAGGTTATTACCTTCGAGTGTGCGTAAGAAATAAACGATCAGAATGTGGTCATTGTATCCATCAGGAAATTTGGAGGTTGACGACTGTCCAAAAATTTAAACTGGGTGCAAACTCTGACGTAACGTCGATCTAAACTCAAAAAAACATTCTCAAAAAACGTTAATTGTTAATGATATTACCTTTGAGTGTGCGTACAAAAATAAACGATTAGAATATGGTCATTGTGTTCATCAGGAAATTTGGAGGTGGACGACTGTCCAAAAATATTAACTGAGTGCAAACTCTGACGTAACGTCGAGCTAAACGCAAAAAACATTCTCAAAAAACGTTAACTGTTAATGATATTACCTTTGAGTGTGCGTACAAAATTAAACGATCAAAATATGGTCATTAATTGTATCTATCAGGAAATTTGGAGGTTGACGACTGTCCAAAAATGTTAACTGGGTGCAAACTCTGACGTAACGTCGATCTAAACGCAAAAAAACATTAGCAAAAAACGTCAATTGTTAATAATATTACCTTTGAGTGTGCGTACAAAAATAAACGATTAGAATATGGTCATTGTCTTCATCAGGAAACTCGGAGGTTTACGACTGTCCAAAAATTTTGAATGGGTGCTAACTCTGACGTATTGTCGAGCTAAACGCAAAAAAACATTCTCAAAAAACGATAATTGTTAATGATATCACCTTTGAGTGTGCGTAAAAAATAAACGATTAGAATATGGTAATTGTGTCCATCAGGAAATTTGGAGGTTGACGACTGTCCAAAAATTTTAACTGGGTGCAGACTCTGACGTAACGTCGAGCTAAATGCAAAAAGCATTCTCAAAACACGTCTATTGTTAATGATATTACCTTTGAGTGTGCATACAAAAATAAACGATTAGAATATGGTCATTGTGTCCATCACGAAATTTGGAGGTTGACGAATGTCCAAAAATGTTAACTGGGTGCAAACTCTGACGTAACGTCGAGCTAAACGTAAAAACAACATTCTCAAAAAACGTTAATCATTGTTAAGGATATTACCTTTGAGTGTGCGTAAAAAATAAACGATCAGAATGTGGCCATTTTGTCCATCAGGAAATTTGGAGGTTGACGACTGTCTCAACTCTGTCGTAACGTCGAGCTAAATGCAAAAAAACATTCTCAAAAAACGTTAATGGTTAATGATAATACCTTTGAGTGTGCAAACAAAAATAAACGATTAGAATATGGTCATTGTGTCCATCAGGAAATTGGAAGGTTGACGACTGTCCAAAAATATTAACTGGGTGCATACTCTGACGTAACGTCGAGCTAAGCGCGAAAAAACATACTCAAAAAACGTTAATTATTGTTAAGGATATTACCTTTGAGTGTGCGTGAAAAATAAACGATCAGAATGTGGTCATTTTGTCCATCAGGAAATTTGGAGGTTGACGACTGTCCAAAAATGTCAACTCTGTCGAAACGTCGAGCTAAATGCAAAAAAAACATTCTCAAAAAATGTTAATGGTTAATGATAATACCTTCGATTGTGCATACAAAAATAAACGAATAGAATATGGTCATTGTCTCCATCAGGAAATTTGGAGGTTGACGACTGTCCAAAAATGTTAACTGAATGCAAAATCTGACGTAACGTCGATCTAAACGCAAAAAAACATTAGCAAAAAACGTCAATTGTTAATAATATTACCGTTGAGTGTGCGTACAAAAATAAACGATTAGAATATGGTCATTGTCTTCATCAGGAAACTCGGAGGTTTACGACTGTCCAAAAATTTTGAATGGGTGCTAACTCTGACGTATTGTCGAGCTAAACGCAAAAAAACATTCTCAAAAAACGATAATTGTTAATGATATCACCTTTGAGTGTGCGTAAAAAATAAACGATTAGAATATGGTAATTGTGTCCATCAGGAAATTTGGAGGTTGACGACTGTCCAAAAATTTTAACTGGGTGCAGACTCTGACGTAACGTCGAGCTAAATGCAAAAAGCATTCTCAAAACACGTCTATTGTTAATGATATTACCTTTGAGTGTGCATACAAAAATAAACGATTAGAATATGGTCATTGTGTCCATCACGAAATTTGGAGGTTGACGAATGTCCAAAAATGTTAACTGGGTGCAAACTCTGACGTAACGTCGAGCTAAACGTAAAAACAACATTCTCAAAAAACGTTAATCATTGTTAAGGATATTACCTTTGAGTGTGCGTAAAAAATAAACGATCAGAATGTGGCCATTTTGTCCATCAGGAAATTTGGAGGTTGACGACTGTCTCAACTCTGTCGTAACGTCGAGCTAAATGCAAAAAAACATTCTCAAAAAACGTTAATGGTTAATGATAATACCTTTGAGTGTGCAAACAAAAATAAACGATTAGAATATGGTCATTGTGTCCATCAGGAAATTGGAAGGTTGACGACTGTCCAAAAATATTAACTGGGTGCATACTCTGACGTAACGTCGAGCTAAGCGCGAAAAAACATACTCAAAAAACGTTAATTATTGTTAAGGATATTACCTTTGAGTGTGCGTGAAAAATAAACGATCAGAATGTGGTCATTTTGTCCATCAGGAAATTTGGAGGTTGACGACTGTCCAAAAATGTCAACTCTGTCGAAACGTCGAGCTAAATGCAAAAAAAACATTCTCAAAAAATGTTAATGGTTAATGATAATACCTTCGAGTGTGCATACAAAAATAAACGAATAGAATATGGTCATTGTCTCCATCAGGAAATTTGGAGGTTGACGACTGTCCAAAAATGTTAACTGAATGCAAAATCTGACGTAACGTCGAGCTGAACGTAAAAAAACATTCTCAAAAAACGTTAATTGTTAATGATATTACCGCGTACAAAAATAAACGATTAGAATATGGTCATTGTGTCCATCAGGAAATTTGGAGGTTGACGACTGTCCAAAAATGTTAACTGAATGCAAAATCTGACGTAACGTCGAGCTGAACGTAAAAAAACATTCTCAAAAAACGTTTATTGTTAATGATATTACCGCGTACAAAAATAAACGATTAGAATATGGTCATTGTGTCCATCAGGAAATTTGGAAGTTGACGACTGTCCAAAAATGTTAACTGGGTGCATATCAAAGTCACGAAACTTAAAAAAAACATTCTCAAAAAACGGTATTCGTTAATCATATTACCTTTGAGTGTGCGTACAAACACAATACAATTATTACGAAGGAGAGTATAAAGAGTAAGGATATTTGGTAAAGGGAATACTAGCAAGCAGTGTGCTGCCCATTCAGTTTCAACGCGCAATCCTCTACGAGTCAAAGCAGGAGTTTTCGGAATTATTAAAAAGTTTCCACTTTCAGTTCGGACTATACAGAGTGTACGTGCTATCAGTGACGGTGGAAAATGGCCCTGCAATACCCGTCGTCCTTTCAAATCCACCAAAATTTCGAGAAATTGACTTTCCAGTACGAGGTAAATACGTTTCATTACTTGTTTTCATTTCGTTTCGACTTGTTGTTGTTAAGCATTTTCGTACATTCCGAAAATACGCATTTCATACTGGGTGGAACCGTTAAGTCTCGATGGTATCGGTGGAACCAGGAGTATGAGATGTAGCAAAATTCACATGAAATTTCCAGGTTGATATGTCGGAAATTTGATTTTCTGATATCACAAAAGTAGTAATGGAAAAAAAAACGTAGAAGATAACGTAGGCACTATGTGTGTCTCGCTTCAATTATTACTACTCTCGTATTTTTGAGCCCACATAACACAAGATATTTTATGGATATTCGTATCGTGTCCAATTCTGGTCGGAATATCCTTTCGAAATTGACATGGACTAAGATAAGATATTAATCAAGAATATTTGATCGATATCATTCAGAAGATATTTTATGAATAACCACAAGATATCTACAGCACAATCCAGCAAAATCCATTCAAATAACAATATCCCTGTTTGAAATTGTTTTTTTTATTCTTTAACGTTTTTGAACGAAATATGATTCTTCAAAGAACACCCCTTCATTCACTTATTTTCTGGGCTTCAAATAGATATTGATAAGATAACGGATATCAGAAGACATTTTATAGATAGCCTTCGGGATAGCCATAAGAGGTATACACAAAGCGAACATGAATTCAATACTTAAATATCAGAATCATGTACTATTCAGAACTATTATTTCACTTTCCTTACTGTTTTTCCTGTGTTTGAGATGCATATCTATGAGATATTAATTCATTGAAGGATTCGCAAAATTTATAACTTCTAGAGCTAGAAAAAGTATACGTATATAACAAACATAAGATCGATTAATATCTATTGAATTGGAATAGTCTCAGATATATTATGAACATTAAAAATTAATGCATATATGAATAAATATATACATTGAGAAGTCACATTCTATATCTGATGAAAATATGAATTCTTTTTCGGTATATTCAACAGAATACAAATTTCCTTTCCTGTCTATATATACTTATACAATACTTTCATACCTAATCAAGGGGTTCAAACTTGAAAAATGGAAATTTGCTTTTACAGACCTCTAATCACAGATTCGTGATTGGGTTTCCCCAATTCAGAATTTCAATCTAAATCTAAATATCTACAGTTCTCAACACACTAAATGGACCACTCATAATTTGACTCTATTTCAAAGACCTGTATTTTTTGAAAAAATTGACCGATCCTCATGCGGTTTTCGATATCAGATGTGATGTTTCATCGGCTTCAAAGAGAGCTAGAACACTCTGAAAAAGTCCGCAGAACAAAACTTACACAGGGTGTAAAGTGGAACCATTACCCTATGGTCTACATTTCCAATGCTGCCAGAACTCGAGACATTTTTTACTGATCAAAAGTCAGTCATATTATGATACACTGGAACCTCATCTCTGGACGTTTTCGTGATTTCTCCTTAATTGGCCATTGGAACAAAAATTCGATTTTTTTTCGAAAGTCTCGCATTTCTAGAATTTTTTCTCTAGAACTCTACTTGAGCTGACTACTGGGAAGAACTGTTCTAATGTTTTGTGGAGGACAATGAAAGACGAAAAAAGCACTATTGTGGAATATACACGATGATAAGATAATAGGACAAAATCTCATTTCAGTAAAAAAAATTAAAAACGGTGACTAAAACCATGGCCCATTCGATTTAGTTTATTCAGAAATGGCCTTCTCGATATCCATTATTTATATTAGACTATTGACTCGAGACGTTTTCGAAAATTCGCCTCTAATTGAAATACAGGATGAAAATTTTCAATTCAAACTTGTTTCCTGTTATCGATGATTCTTATCAACTTATACCAATATTTATTGTCCAGGTATGAGACATAGAGTATTGTTGTTCAATATACTGAGTGTTTCACAACTTACTATCTGACAAATCTCAATCACAACTACGATATTACATAAGAAGTCTATCACATAAAAATTTTATAGAAGTAAAACGAGATGGAAAATAAAATTAATAACACTTTATATCCACTAAAACTATTCCAAATGGGCTCTATTGGCGAAATATGACATTAGTGAATTCTTCAGTATTATGTAGATCCAACTAGAAAGTCCTATATCCTAAATTTCAGTACTTGGTAGGGCCTCCCCGATCCAACAGAACCTCATAAAATCGGTTTGGCATAGATTCTGTGAGGTTGTTGATGAAGTCTTCGATTATGATACTGCCTTCCATTCTTCTGATACAGCTTGGATAAAGTTGTCATTATTTTGCGGTATCTCCCGCCTTCTCGATAGGTTAAGTTTTATTCGGCTCCACACATGTTCAAACAAATTCAGATCTGGAGATAATGCTGGTCACCACATTCTTCTAACATAATTGTTTTCTAGAGTTCGTAATTTGTCAGATAAGTTGTGAAACACTCAGTATATTGAACAACAATACTCTGTGTCTCATACTTGGCCAGTTAATATTGGGAATCAGTTGATAGAATCATCGATATCAGAAAACAAGTTTGAATTGACAATTTTCATCATGTATTTCAATTAGAAGCGAATTTTCAAAAACGTCTCGAGTTAATATTCTGATATAAATAATGGATATCGAGAAGGCCGTTTCTGAATGTACTAAATCGAATGGGGTTTTAGTCACCATTCTTTATTGCTAAAAAGATTTCATATTTTATTCTCAAACTCTTATCGTGTGTGTTCAATAGATATAATTCAATGTTCGTCGTGGCATATAGCCAGGAAAGTAGTTGTTTTCTATTGAATTAGCTGGAAAAGAGTTGATATTCTCATCACATAGATAATGCAAATTCTCAATGTATTGCTTTATATAAATATATATCCATTTTTGTATGTTCATAATTTATCGGAGAATATTCCTTTTCAACACTTTCATACCCAATCAGGGGGTTCAAACTTGAACGACTTGAATGATTTTTATAGACCTCTAATCGCAGATTCGTGATTGAGTCTCAATTCAGAATTTCTCTCCACGCCCTGTATGATGAATGTCAATTTATCATACACCCAAAAGCAAATTATATTTCCATTTTGAATGAAGTGTAATAAGAAAAATCGTTCATTACACGTCCAGAAATGGTTTTTCCGTGCTTGCATGAAAAGTCCCTATTTCCAGAATCGCAATGAAATATACTATTTCCTGGTTTCATGAAAACATTTCCGAAGCAATGGGTTTGTGATAAAAATTGTTCCTCAGGCACCGAAATCAGTCTTACCTCGGCCTTGCTATATCTAGTTCTAAATTATGAATTGTTCTTCTTCATGAAAAAGTTCTACTTTCAAACAAGATATGAGATGTTTGATTTCAGTGGTTTGGATCAATCTCCATGAACAACACCATGCTTTGGAACAATTTTCATGAAAACGAAGAAATTAAAGAAAAAACAGTTTGGGCCATGCACTTTTTAAAAATGCACATTTTCGTAGAACACCTTGTAACTCTGAAACGAGGATTGATATCGATATATGCGTTTTCCACCATTGACTTTGTTATCAAGTAGAATTGTCCCTCAGACACCTACTATACCGACCCTGTTTTTTTATCTACTTCGAGAATATAACTTTTCCATTAGAAGTGTCCGATATGCCGAACCAATGCACAAGATCTATTTTTTTTTTTTCAATGAATTCTCCATGATTTCGGGATAGATATCCTTCCAAGGATATTCTAAGGATGGCCATAAAATACCTATATCCATGAAAGTCATTTTCAAAAACTGAAGTGCCTCATGCAGAGTACTCATCTTTCTGTATAATATTGTTTCCTAAGATTGTCATTCTCTTTGAAATGATCTAATAAGATGAAAGCTCTTATTACGTATTATTATTATCTCTGTTACGATTTGTTGTAAATGTGTACATGCGGGCATATCGAAAAAACATTTCAATGTCAAGTTCATGATCACCTGACTGATCATTAGAATGCAATTTTGGAAGCAATGATTGATTTATTGATGAATTGGCAACTAAAAAGGTCAAGAGTAAATCGTAAATCGAACAAATCTTGAAAGTATGGTGCAGTTTTCGACAATATACCGTGATTTGTATCGGTGGGTTGGACTAATAATTGTAATTGTCAATTGAACCGGAACAAACTCTATATGAGTAAGGCATCAATCAAAATGTCTATAACTTTCGACAGGTTGTGTGACCAATCATTGTTTCTATCATTAGCTATGAAACCTACCATTATTTACTACTTTTCGAGGCTTAAAGTGTTATTTTACTACCAAGGTAGTTTTCGTAATTTTATGAACAGCTTGTCAATCAAGACATAGGCACCTTTGTTGTAATCAATCTGGATTTATCGTTCTGATATAAGATTCGCAGGAATGGCACTCGAATCTACTAAAAATTTACAGGGTGTATCTAAATAACACCGAAAAAATTCAAGGGGTGTTTCCTTGTAACATTCTAGCAAATGAAGTTCATATAAACATGTGTTTTAACTTGCCCCGCTTATGAGATACAGGATGTTGAACTTGGAAGTATTATTTCCATTTATAACTCCCCTGTGTAAGCTTTCATGGTGCCAAAATGATTCTAATTGGGGTTATTGAGTACACAGAAAAAAAAAGTGTTTGAAACTACAAAATTTTTGTGAATTCAACAAAATCTGAGTGTCATATATCCAAGACAAAATATTTTGTCACCGCAACAAATGTTTTTTGTCAGTTTTCAGTTCAAAATTCATTTGATGTAACTCATTAATGATTCAAATCAACAGCAGGAATTGGTTGAATGAACAAAGACTATTTTGTTCCTATAATACAATATCTGCTCTCATGATCGATTCTGCTGATTGAAATGATTATATCGTTTCATTCAAGTGACAAAATTTTCAGTTTTTCAGAGAGAATTTGTTAAAATAACGAAATATATTCTTCGATCAACAAAATTGTATTTAGAATTGACAAAATATTTTGCTGAATAATATTTTGAAAAATCCAATAACTGAATTTCAACACTA